AGGGAAAGATCTTTTTTTTCCATTCTGCCTTTCAAAAACAAGGTGTGTATCTTATTCTGAGATGTTTGTATGCAAGAATAATTTGGTAATGAGGAGGAAGTTGCTGATCTATACCACCTGGTTAAATGGTCTCAGTCCAACAGGATACATTGTAATTCAGCTAAATGCCAGATAATGCATTTAGGAACAAAGGGTATGGGTTATTCTTATATTACAGTACAGGTTGGCAGATTTTGTCTTGGAAAGTCATGGATATAAGGTGGGATTTAGGATTTCTTATGACTATGTCAACATTGGCTTTCAGTGCAATGCTGAGGCCAAAAGGGGTAATACAATTCTTAGTTATAAGAAAAGAAGAGGTACTGTATGAGTTGTAAAATTATCTTACTTCTACACAGGCACCTCTGTACACAGTACTGGTGTCCACACTCCAAGAAAGATATGGACTTACTATAAGTTCAAGTTCAAAAGAGGGCTAGTAGAAGTTGGAAAACAAGCCTTAGGTTGAGAAACTTAAGTAGATTAACCTATTTAATATACTAGAGCCGGCTAAGAGGTAGCATAAAATCTGTGCATTGTTACTTATGGGCTGCATCTAGGCAAGCGGCAGACTGTGCAGTTATTTAGTACTTGCATAAGCAAGTACTAAGTGACTGTGCAGTAACCAGAGTTACTGCACAGTACTGTTGCTGCACATTTTTTTTTCCGACGCTACTACACAGTAGCTTGTTACTACTGCATGGCATTGTCATTGCATGGTTCATGCCCGGCAATGCTACTGCACAGTAGCAATGAGCTACTGCACAGTAGCTCTTTCCTACTAGGCAGTAATGTCTCATGTAGAAGTGTCAATGGAGAAATGTTTGATAGCAGGGGACTGAAAGGTAAAGCTCAATTCAAATTCAACATCAGAATGAGACATGGTTTCCCACTGGTAGCGGTGGTGAAAATGGAACACCTAAGCTGGTGGACCTCTCATCTCTTAGAGTCTTTAGAACTAAACTGAATATCTTTGTAAAAAGTTACCAATATGCCTGGATCCAGGGTGTGCAGATATGTTTTGGTTCGAAGGTTGTTTTAGTTCATGCTAGCCTTTCACTCTGGATCTGAGTCTCCCTGTTCACCCCATTCATTTTTGGGGGCCTTGCATATGCTCCTAACATTTACAGGTCCAAATTAAGGCAACAGTTATACAATCTCTTGATTATGGACTCTAAACCTTCAAGGGTAGAAAAAGAATTAGCTTTGATGAATAAATTGGCTTCAACTTTCTGTAATGACTGGCTATGTTTGGGGAAGGATACTGAGTCAGGTGAGCCAGTGCTTTGAGGTAGTGCAGTAAATTTCTGACCGGTATGTGTCACTCACATACTGTTGCACTGATTGCTAGGTTTGGAATCAGAAGGAATTTCCCACCAAGTCATGTTGTCAGGCACCTTTTGGGAGTTTTCTATTTCATTTGAAGTATAGGATATAATTTACTTGTAGTGACCCACAGGACATCTCTCACCTAACACGGTTCCTGTCATGGTAGGGGTCTGGGTCATTGGTGGCACCCTAGTGTCTACTGTCTTCTATCTGTGACACAAAATTTGGGTTTCTGCAGACTAAAATATTTTGTTTGTATGAAGTCTCTAGGCTTGACATAGGGAACCTGAATGATACTTAACGGCCTGTGATATACAGAAGCTCAGACTACCATATTTACTGAAATTCAAGACCACTTTGAATTTAAGATGACCCCCTAATAATTGTATTCTAGGTATGGAAAAATTATAAATTTGTATGGAATCTAATGATTGGACAGTTGCCTTAAATTCACACACCCCCCACCGCTGCCACAGGGCAAGCAGTGGTGGTGGGGAGGGACCAAGGGCAGGGGTGTGTAGTAGCTTGACCTTTGCTCCTTGTCATCTGTCCCTCCACCACTTGCCCCCCCACTTGCAGTGACTATACTCCCTGGTTCCTGCCCCCCTGCCACTTGCCAAAGACAGAACTGCCACCATAGCCACCACTGCATGGGTGGGTGGGGACCAGAGGCAGCATATGCTCCATGACTTGGGCTGGATTGGGGCCCCAGCCTGAGCTGGTGCTATGACTGCAAGGTAAGCTGCCACAGCAGTGGTTGGGGGAGGGAGCAGTGTGGGGGTGGCAGGGATCAGAGGCTACAGGGGGCAGGTGGTGGGAGGCAGTAGCTGAAGCTGTGGCTCCAACCCTGGGTTTGGAATCTATTTATGCACCCTCCTTGCCCCACCCCCTGCTGTCAGGTTTAGGGTTGGCGTCAGCGCCCCAGGTGCTGAACACCGCCC